GTACACGGTATTTGAACATTCTCTGTTATACATTTGATTTGGGCAATGACTTGAACAAAGATTATCTTATCTTCAGCAAAGTTTAGATTAAGCTGTAGGTTGGGTAGTATCATTCAATTGTCGGAATGGTCAAGGAATCAGGTGGTAGGTTGTTTCTATTTGGTGTGAACGCTCTGAAGGCAGCACAGCTTCAAATTTTCAAAAGCGGATGTGGAGGCTTCCAAACCCAGGGTGCCTGCACTCACTTGTGATGGGTTCGAGAATGAACAGTCATCCAACTTTCCTCTCTGTTGCCTATCGCCCTCTATATGAAGGTTCCAAACTGTTGGATCTGAAGCTTACAAACTAGTGGATCTAAGCAGCAGCTTGAAGGGTCCTTAGGCGGAATACGTAAACACATCGCGTGCCCCACTCTTATCGCTCTCAAACAATGACTATTACATACAGTGAAACCAACGGTGCCGACCACGGCGGGCACCACCGCCCCGGTGTCGTGCACGGCGGGCACCAGCGCTCCTATGCCTATGCCGTTCACGGCGGGCACCACCGCTCTGGTGCCGTTCACGGCGGTCACCACCGCTCCGGTGCTTCACGGCGGTCACTACCGCTGTGGTGCCGTTCACGGCAGGCATCATCGCCTCGGTGGCGTTCACGGCGGGCACCACCGTTCTGGTGCCGTTCACGGCAGGCATCACCGCCTCGGTGGCGTTCACGGCGGGCATCACCGCCCTGGTGTCGTCCACTGCACCTCCGGTATCGTCCACGGCGGGCACCACCGCTCTGGTGCCGTTCACGGCAGGCATCACCGCCTCGGTGCCGTTCACGGCGGGCATCACCGCCCCGGGGTCATGCACGGCAGGCATCACCGCTCTGGTGCCGTTCACGGCGGGCACCACCGCTCTTGTGCCGTTCATGGCAATGATGAACCCAATATAACCGTCCATCTCCTTCGCAGCTTCCCGACGTGAATGAAAGAGTTTCAAACTTGGATACGTGCCATTGAAGGAGATTGTTGCTCATTCCAGAAGATCCTACTCAGGGTGATGAAAGAAAAAAGAGGAAAAAACGTCGACGCAGGAATAGAAGAACTATGTCACGAGAAACTACATCACGTAAGATTTCCACCTGTTTTTTTTTCAGAAAGCAGTGTGCATGATAAGTATAGGAGCAACGCGAAGAAAAATCTAGAGCTTGATAAGCTTCCCCTTTAAAACTATTTGAAACCTGAGGAACGAGCTCTGTATTGGAGTGGGAAAGTCTTTCCACTTCCCTTTTCTCCTGGCTTCACGTATCTACCCTTTAAACAACTCTTCAACCTACCTGTCTCCCTTACTCTGACATCGCAGCAAACCCCATCTGCGCTTATCTTACAATGGCACTCGGATCCCATAGAAGCTTTCCCATTCTTCTAGGAGTTCTTATGTGATGATAGCAGTGGCGTCTCAAAAGAGCACTAACAGGGGCCCTATTTTCTTGGCTTGCAATTAGTCTTATTCCCGTGGAATACCGTAGAAACTCCCACAAGAGAGTACTATGCCTCCAGTAGCTCTTACGCGATGATAGCATGACGTCATTAATTCGATAGTTTCAAAAGACCACTACGCACCCATTTCTCTGGATCAGTCCTTATTGGGAGCGAATGCGCTTTTCGTAGATTCCCAGAGAGAGTGTGCAGCTGCCGATTTCCTCAATGGGAGCAACTATAAAGGCAGCATGAAATTATGGTAAATTTGTTCGTAGATGTAAAAAGGCATTATGGTAAATTTGTTCGTAGATGTAAAAAGGCACCTGTAAGGTGACGGAGCTTTCAAGGACGAAACTCTTGCGAGTGCTTCGAAAAATTTGGTCTTGCGTGAAATTCCATGTCCCAGTATGACCTGAAGGATTGCAGCGGAACCCTTGAAGTGAACAAACTTCCAACGAAATTGTGTTATTAGTAGGCCCACTTGTTGCGATAGCCACTTAAAATGCATTCGTTAAGAAGAAACCACCGAAGCCGACGAGAAAGAAAAGGCTACAAGATCCCGGTCCATCTCACGTAAGTCTCCTCTTTTCATGTTGGGCATTCGATCCTCGAGATGTTCTCCATTAGAAAGGATGAATTTGCAGAAAACAATAGAACACAGCGAACTGAATCACAAAAAATTATCCATACCATGCCTACATTAAAGCTCTAATATGTATGTGATATCGTAGTTATCGTAGTCTGGGCCTTTTAGAAAGTAGGAACGGAAGGCAAAGAGGAGAACAATGAAATATGTATGAACCTAGCAGATTCGAATGATTCTAGACACTGCCGGAGACAAGCGGTCTCCGGCAATTCCTAGAAATCCACCTGAGCTCTGAATGTGAATCTGAAAGTATCAGCTAGGTGAAGGAAACCGATTCTCTAGTTGAAATGATTGTATTTAGAGGAAACTACAGAGGCAGACGAAAAAGAAAAGAAAGCTGGAGGATCGGGTGGGCCAAGTTTGTGTGTACAGTAATTACAGTATTCTTGTCAGGGCTGTAGCTCACGCGGCTACGAATTAGCCTAGTGTGGGCTCCCACGTGAGCTATCACCATATAACAAGCACCCATTTGTGCTCTAGGCAGCCTCAATGGCTGCTTATCCCTGAACATGAAAGATACCCTAAGGTCTGGCGACCAGTCTAGTGTAGCTCCGAATACTGGTTACTCACCGTTGCTACACAGCCGATGTTCAAATCTGCACATTTGCCTATTCCTTTCTTCTACGTGAAAAGTAAGACAGATGGAAAAATCACCTGTTTTCGAAATATACTTACAATTCAGCTGAATTTATTCAAGAACCACCTCGGAAAAAACTCAAGACAAAGGGTTCTGCTTCCCGTATGTCCTTTTTCTTCCAAACTTTCGCTTTCGTTGGTGAATTAAGCTTCTTTTTGTTTAAAGGGACTATTCAGAAGGAGTGGATGCATCCGATAGTTCAAATTTGAAAAGTTGAGCCTGCCACTAACATGGAGGATCTCAAAAATGTTCGAATCATACTATTTATCCCATTCAAATTGCACTTGCATCCGCGCACAGACGAGATCGATGTAGATGTAGAAGTTTGGAGTTGACAGTAGATAGGGATAGTATGAAAAAAGCGCGAAGAATAGGTAGTTTGGAGTTAACACAGTGACATCAGAAAAGCTAAGATAGCATTTCATCGCTGTGGCAGACCAAAGAGCACGGTTAGTGCAGTATGCTCTGCTCATTCCGGGAGATGGCGCGATTCATAAGGGCTCCAAGCACCCATCCAGTGGTACACATCCAAGCCGTAGCCCTAGCCCGGAGCTGCATATTCTTTGGAAGGTTAATTTGTTAATGATGGTTCCGGAGCTTTCTCCACTCTGAACTGAACGAAATCCAATACGTTCAATGCAAGAAAAGATGTAAAGGCCTGCTATTAAATGTAATTTTC